CCCCAAAACCCCAAAACCCCAAAACCCCTTTTAATGTCTTTTGTATTGAAGTAATATTATAATTGATTATTACAAATGGTAGGTGGACTAGAACAAATTTTTGAAAGCGGCATCCGGATGGAGACTTTTGGAGGTGACCGGTCTTTTAGGTGGGAAGAGAAGGGAAGGAGGAGGGGAGGGGGAGGGGAAGTGGGTGAGGGAGGGTGAGGGAATAAGGAAGGGGTTTGTAGGGGTTGGGAGAGTTGAAATTATGGAATTTTTAGGGTATGATTTTGTATATTTAGGTGAAGTTATTGTTCATATAGGAGATTTGGCAGGACTTGCGAAGAATTTTGAAGTACCGTACGAATTTTTTCAAGGAATTTCCTGACAATGAGGAACTTGAGGAAGAATATTACAGGAAGAGGCTGGTTCAGATTAGAAAATAACTGGGGTCTCTTGATGAATGTAGTTCGGCTTACTGTTGTATCTGTGCTCACTTTTGTAACAATAATGAAGCAGGAAAAATTTTTATTTAGAGCCTGAATTTTGGTATTCGATTTTATAATAATTTACTTTTTATCAAAAGGAATAAAAAGATACGACTGGGTGGCCAATTACTGAGGCACTATCTTAGCAACAATAATGTACCTACAGATGACAGAAATGAACCTCAAATTCAAATATTTCAGGTAAATTAGATTTAAACTTTAGAATAAATGAAGGCTATCTTATTCAAATAGCTGCTTCCTTATAGTGTTCAGTACTTGTGTCACCACAAATTGGAAAATAGCTTGCATAACTCAAACTCTATTACATATCCATGGACTTTTGAGATTGGGATCTAAATTTGGTACACTTGGAGATTACTATTATCCGTCAACCTTTATAGCTCTAATTTTCTTCATTGTGGGTGCTTACTCATATTCAAAAACACTCAAGTTAGAGTTTCTTGCTAATTATAAGCAAAGAAAAACATTAGAAAGTCAGAAAGCAATCCTCGATTCTGTTTCTGAAGGAGTGTTGATTGTTAATGCAAACAAAGGAGTCAAGTATCTCAATCCAAAGATCAAGGATACTTTTGATATCGGAGCCTTCTACAAGTCTGACTCGGTTGTTAATGAGATGAAAGCCACTCAGATTTTGATAAGCAAAGAATTGGATAGAGCCATTAAGAAATACTCATTTGAGTACTCTAACATTCACAGACATGTCAAGAAAGACCCAGAAAAGTTTCTCAGTGACTTGCTCAACGATTTTGAAGTCACAATAATAGACAATGAGCAAGACCAAAATGCAGATAATCCTAATGAGAATGCCCAAAATGAATCTCACTCTCAGGCTGAGAGATTCCTCGAATATCGACAAGGCCAACCAACTCTTGCACAATTCTTGGAGAGTGAGTGCGAAGCTATCATGAACAGTAACAACATCAGCAAAGAATCAAAGATTTGAATGGAATACAGACATCTCAATATTCACCATGAAACTCAGAAGCGCGAATTTGTGATCAAAACGACTCTAGTTGAATCTGATTTAGAGTCAGCAGACGACGTTCTGTTTATGCACATGTTTATTGATACAACAAAGATTGGCCAGCTTGAAGAAGCAAAAGCTCAAAACCACTACCAAAGGCAGATGCTCTCCAATGTTTCTCACGAATTCAGGACGCCTCTGAACTCAATTACTGCTTCATTAGAGCTTATGAGGATGCAAGAGTATGGGAAGAACAATCGATTCCTACAGATAGCCTCATCCTCATGAAGCATCTTGGGAATGCTGGTAGAAGACATTCTTGATCATGCAAAAATAGAATCAGGAGTGTTTCGAATTAATGAAGAAGAGTTTACTATGACTCAATGAATTAATGAAATTTATGAAGTATTCTCATTGCAAACAAATGGAAAAGGTCTAGAGCTAAAGATTAATATTGAAGAGAAGCTAAGAAATATGCCTATTCTATCAGATAAGCAAAGGATAAAACAAGTTCTCATGAACTTAATTTCCAATGCATTAAAATTTACTGATACTGGGTCTATTACTGTTGAAGTAAGTGAATCCAACAACGAGTTGGAAGAATCTAAAATACATGAAGAAAGAAAATATCTTGAGAATGATTCGATTGATTATTCCAAAGTGCACATTGGTGAGCTTTTAATTAAATATAGAAGAACCTTCGGAGCTATCTGAAAATCAACAGATTAGATATGATGTGGATAAATATTCATTTAGTGTCAATAAATCCCTGTTCAAAGTTCAAGAGTCAACTGAATCTAGACTTCAGAACAAAACAACTATTACTCTAAAAGTTATTGATACTGGAATAGGCATTGCTCAAGCCGACCAAAAGTCCCTCTTCAAGTTGTTTGGCAAGCTCAGCTCAAATCACGATAGGAACAAGACTGGGTGAGGACTGGGACTAACAATCTGAAAGAAGCTTATTGAAAAGCTAGGAGGGACCATCAGTCTTTCTTCCAAAGAAAATATTGGTACTACTGTGGAATGTAGCTTCATTTGAAAGTATTAAATCTTGGTGATCTAAAAGGTTCAGTCTCTAATCTATACTCCTCAAATTTCTACATTTCCATAAATTAGCAAATACATATGCGTACAAAACTAGAATTTAATATAACACTCTGACTATTATTTTACCAACTAAGCTTTTAAGGCGAAAAATTGTTGAAATAGCTAAATTGGTGCTAGATTCCTCCTTTCTTAAGCTAGAAGAGAGGTGGTGACACCATCTTTGAAGAGTATCAGCCAAATACCTGTGGGGTTTAACTTATGCTTGGAAATTAGCAATGTTATCTGGGAAATTCTCGTCGAATTTAAGAAGTTAAAAGAATAAAATGTTTGTCTCTCATGGAGGAAATTATCCTGCTAATGAATCCAATAATTTCTAATAAATTGGTTGCTAAATCGTCTTTTTTGGACACTTATGCATCAGAAGAAGGAACTAGTGTATATTTCCTATAACTTATATACTTATTTTGGGATATCATAAATTTAATATTTTCAATCAACATGAAGAAGTCAGGGGTTTTGGGGTTTTGGGGTTTTGGGGTTTTGGGG